GGGAGGGGCCGGCCGCCGGCTTCGCGTGTGTTCGTGGTAACCGTGTTCGGATTATGCACAGGAGGGGGAGGGAAATCATGCTAACTGCGTGTTAATTTACACGTCGAGGGCAAGATGTTTTCTAGTCCTAGAGGTGTGGAAATGTGCTCATTTTTTTATAAGACTCGCCCAGCGATGAAGAGCCCTAAAGCTTATATTTCACAGGATGTTGATGAATAAAACCCAGCTTTGCCGTTTGGATACTCATCTGGTTAGATGTGACAACAAGATCGAACAAGCGTGGGCCCAGAGTCTGAAACGGACAGTCTTGGCGGAAAGCCTGGGTGCAGTGAGCACACGACTGTGTGTATTTTTAGTGCAGTTTTGAAAAGGAGAGTTTTACAACATCCAGTCTTTTGTCCAAGCTGTAGTCAGCTGGTCACCCAGGGGGCCATCTTGTTTTAAAGGGCATTTATTGAATGCTAGACACCATCTTGCAGGAAGATGTTGACAAATTTAAGACGAAGGTTTGACTGTACGTCACGCTGGGTGACGGCGGCTGGTGGTGGCCGTGTGACGGTGGCAAACGGACGAACGGGCACGGAGGACACGCAGTGTCGGGCGGCGTCAGCTCCCAGCCCTGCTAACTGCTCCCCTCAGCTGCGGGGCGCCCGCCCGGCGAGGCGCGTGGTGCCCAGAAGCAGCCCGGGACCAGGACAGCTGCCCTTCCATCCGGCACGGCACACGGTCGTGAAGCGACAGTGTCTCAACCGTGTGTCGCCCCTGAGGCCACAGCCCTGTCACCAAGGGAGGGTGGAAAGGGCAGGTGTCGCCAGAAGGTGGGGCTCCAGGCTCAGCTCCGGTGCCCTTGACTTGTGTGCTACAGAGTCTTAGCTTATTATGATACCATTTCTGTCACCTTTTAGTCCACTTTCAAAGACAATTTTTTTTTATTTGAATACTTCTTTCGATCCCATAGCATGTGAAAGCAGACACATGCGTTTGGCGTCAGAGCCGCAGACACGTTCGGTGACCCCGTCCCTGCCCCACCTCCTCTCCCAGAGAGGCAGAGGACGCATGGACCCCGAGCGGTGACGGCACCCTCTGCCCGCCCACTCCACCCTGATTTCGTGGCCGTCACATACATTTTCTTAATACGAATTTATTTCTAAACACATGCTACCCAAAACTCTTGCCAGGGCACGTTTCCTGCAATAGAGTCTTCGAGAAACGGTCGTTCCTGGCAAAACGGATGTAGCTCCAAAGGCAGTGGTTTCCCCCGGCCCGTCTTTGCGCCCGTCTGGCGAGTCTGTCCATGCGTGCGTGTGGGCCCGTGTCCGTGTCCACGTCCACACGCGGCACTCACGATGCTCCCCAGGAGGAAAGGTCGGATTCTGCAAATCCCCTTCGTCTAGAGTCTCAGGGGACAGGACCCGCAGGTCCTGTGACATTAAAAGGGGCGCAAACCCCAGACTCATTAGAATCGAGCGCTTCTCCGGCCGGCCTCGTCGGTCACTCCCCGGCATTCACGACGCGGTCGGCCCCCTTTCGCGCGTTAAGCGGCCCGGGGTGCGCATCGGCCGCCCTCAGGCAGCGCCACGCGGAGACACGGATGTGCCACTCCGCGGTTTTCCATGTGAGACGGTAAAACAGCGCCCAAATTTCCGCGACCGGAAAGGCGAGGCTGCCTCTGGAGACACTGACCGTTCTGAGCAGCAGACCGGCCGCCCGCTGCCTCCGCACGGTACACAGCGCCCCCTCTCGCTCCAGTGTGTTCGTCAGGCGCCGAGATGCTGCTTAAACGCTCCTGCAGCCCAGAGGAGAGAGACCGCGAAGCTGAGAGATAATTAGCGTCACGCGCGAGGGCTCTGCTTTAAAAACACCGTCTCCCCCCTCCCCCACTCCGTGACTCACTCACCTCCTGCCGCGTGCAGTGACACTCACTACTGCTGCTCGCCGTAAAAACGGACAAACCCTTACTTTGCCAGCTCATGAGCGGTGGCCAGTGTCATTTTTGTGATGTTGCAGCTAGTAATATGAGCCCAGTTGCATAGTCACAAAAGTGATCATTGGAAACTGTGACTGTACTGCAGGGGCAGTGTGGGAGGCCCCTTTTCTGAGCCTCTAACGGCCCGAGCTTTGCTGCTGTTGGTCGCGTGACGGTTTTCTCGCTCAGTGACCCGTGGGTCGGTTTGTATTACTAATCATTCTTCCTCAGTGAACGCCTCTGTGAAGTATATATAACATCCGTTTTTCCTGAATGTTTGCGATCTTTTGCTTACTGATGATTTCTTCTAATAGCATAAAATAAGACAGCTGCGAACCGCTCCTCCTCGTCAATAATCAGTCTGCCGCGCTGTCTCGGGTCGACCAGACGAATGCTCTCGCCGCCGGCGATGCTTCCGCTTTGTGATCTCTGTCTGCCGTGGTAGCGATGCAAGCCCACGATTCTTTGCAAATAAAACTCTGGACCGCAGCAGCACCTCCCCCTGCCCCGCGCGTCCCGGGCTGTCTGTGAACAGGTTCAGTGTGGGCGGGGCTGGCACGGGCGTTAAAATGACGGCGAAGCCTTCCTGGGTGCTGCCGAGGCGGCCAGTCAGAACACGCTGCAGAAAGCGGCCGAGGCCTGTCACCACGCGGGGACGGGAACCGCGGGGACGGACGGGCAGGCCGCGGCCGCCGTCGCCGGGGCAGGAATTTTGCCAGAGAGGCAAAGCGGCTCCACGGGCACGTTTCTGAAACAGTGCGGTTTAAGAAGAGGCCTGTGGTTGTGCGTGTTTATTTTTAATGTTCTTTTTTTGTGCTTTTGGTCCCATCAGAAAAAATAACCAAAACCTGGTGACTGGCCAGTGAGTGAACATGCAGAAGCTGAGTTTAGGCTTTGCAAACGCAGGCTGCACTGTCGAGTAGGAAACGTAGCAGAATGTTCACGCTTGAGAGTAAGCGGCTGAGAACTTTCCAGCAAAAGCTTCTGAAAGTGAAAGGCCTGTAGAAATAGGGCCACAGGTCTGGTCTGAGGGTCGAGCTCGCTCAATCCCGCACACAGCACAGCGCACGCACACACGCGCACAGACACGCACACACGCGCACAGACACACAAGCACACACGCGCACAGACACGCACACACGCGCACAGACACGCACACACGCACAGACACGCACACACGCGCACAGACACGCACACACTCACACACGCGCGGCGCACACACACGCACAGACGCGCACACGCGCACAGACGCGCACACACGCGCACACACGCGCACAGACACGCACACACGCGCACAGGCACGCACACACGCGCACAGACACGCACACACGCGCACAGGCACGCACACACGCGCACAGACACGCACACACGCGCACAGGCACGCACACACGCGCACAGACACGCACACACGCGCACAGGCACGCACACACGCGCACAGACACGCACACACGCGCACAGGCACGCACACACGCGCACAGACACGCACACACGCGCACAGGCACGCACACACGCGCACAGACACGCACACACGCGCACAGGCACGCACACACGCGCACAGACACGCACACACGCGCACAGGCACGCACACACGCGCACAGACACGCACACACGCGCACAGGCACGCACACACGCGCACAGACACGCACACACGCGCACAGGCACGCACACACGCGCACAGACACGCACACACGCGCACAGGCACGCACACACGCGCACAGACACGCACACACGCGCACAGGCACGCACACACGCGCACAGACACGCACACACGCGCACAGGCACGCACACACGCGCACAGACACGCACACACGCGCACAGGCACGCACACACGCGCACAGACACGCACACACGCGCACAGGCACGCACACACGCGCGCCCCACCTCAGAAGCGCCTCGGCCTGGCCACCCCCCAGAGGAAACGGCACAACCGGCCACACGGACGTTTCGGCCGCGTGACAAGCGCCGAGTTTCCGTCACGACCAGAGTCTGCTGCCACCCTCCCCGCCCCGCCCCATCCCCTCGGCTCCGGGGTCCATGGCAAAGCAGACAGTGGATTGAATTTTCACTCTCGACCGCTCGTGAGCTGAGCGGGCAGCCTGTGCAGAGACGCGACATTCGCCGTCTCTGGCAGGACGAGAAAGGTCTTCCGTGCTGTCGCTTAGTGCTCACCACGTCCTCGGTCGTGGAGTCACGCGCAGGTCTCAGGACGCCCGCTCACACGCTGGCCCTGCCAGGAAGCCGAGGCTCTGCCTTCGAAATTCAGGATATTCCTGAGAATTTTGATGTACTGTGCAAACATGCTTACGTGTTCCACTGGGAACTTATACAGCGAATTTCAGATCAGCCCGTGTTTTGATTCAGGGCTTGGTTACAAAATCTTAATCGATGCTTATCGTTAATTTTCGTAAATTCCGATCTAAAGTCCGCACAGCGAAGTTGTTTTTAAACATGCCGAAAGTTACAGAAACGGCGAGACTTGTCGTAGATGCAGGTGGGATCTGTCCGCACTTAAGACTGACTGGTCAAAGCATCTTTAAGATGCTGTGTTCAGACAATAGCATCACATTGCAGCCGGACATCTAGACCACGAGAAACTTTTAGCATAAATTGCAAAACTCAAAACTTCCGGCGACGAGTCTGGACACCGTGTCACCAGGAGGGGCGGCGGGCAAGCTCGCAGCCCCCTGGACCCCAGGCCTTGAGTCCGCACCTGAGGGATAAACGCGGCTGGGAACTGTTTGTCAAGCTCTGTCGAATCGTGTGACTCCAAGACGCCGCGTGTGTAATTTTTCCCTTCTGTGTCCAGCAGGCTCCTGCACGATGGCATCACAGACGCGTGTCTGGGCTGGCGTGCGGGTGACTGGAGAGCCTCACGGCGCAGAGCGTAACCGCGATTTCTGTGTCTCTTTTTATTTCAGGAAAGTAAACAAGTGCTACAGGGGCCGCTCTTGTCCAATAGTTGTTCATTGCAGGCAAGTACAACCTTTACCGCGGCTTCAGAAGCGTTCGGCCCCCGCAGAGCGACCGCCAGCCCAGAGGTCGAGCCTGCCCGGTGGCGGAATTGGGCCAGCTCGCTGGCAGCTCCCACGGCCACCGACACACACGGAGGCCTCTGTGCCGTGTGGCTGAACGGAGCTGTGCGTTCATGTCACTGCGCCGGGGCGGGCTGCTCCCCGGGGCCCGCGCTGCCCCTCGCTTTCCGTACACCCTCACTGTGCCGCTCCCCAGAACCTGACCCCCGACACGCTGGCCGCGGCGAGGAGCCCTGCGCAGGTGGCGAGGGCCGCCCGGGCCGTTTGCAACCTGGCCAGCCTGCCATTCACGGGCGGTGCCCCCTCCACTCCCTGACGGGAGTCTGGGCCTGCGGGCGGGTTCAGGGCGCCCGCCCCGGGCAGGGAGCACAGCCGGGCAGGGCAGGGCAGCTGGCCGCACGGGCTTCACGGCGCCTGCTCTGGTGCAGACACACCCACTCTCTGCCCTGTAGAAGGTTCCTTTCCGCCTGGGATAAGCATGAAACACCAAGCCTGTCGGCTCGGTCAAGAACTGTGTATGTGTGTGGGCGCGTGCATGTGTGTGCACGTCCGAGTGTGTATCCGTGTGTGTGTCTGTGTACGTGTGTCATTGTGTGTGTGTGTGTGTCTGTGTGTGTGTGCCTATGTGCATATATTTGTATATGGGTTTGTGTGTGTCTGTGTGTGTGTCTGTGTTTGTGTGAGTATGTGTCCACCTGTGTGCATGAGAGTGTGTCTACGTGTGTGTCTGTGTTTGTGTGAGTACATGTCTACCTGTGTGTCTGCGTGTGTGTCTGTGTTTGTGTATGTGTCCACCTGTGTGCATGAGAGTGTGTCTATGTCATGCGTGTGTCTGTGTATATTTGTCCGTGTGTCAGTGCGTGTGTGTCTGTGGCGTGTGTGACTGCGCGTCCACCTGCGCGTCCACCTGTGTGTCCGTGTCTGATTTCCGTGTCGGTCTGTGAGAAGGGACGGAGCTCAGGACCCTTCGGTTCCCGGGGAGCAGGGCGGGGCATCTTTTATCAGCTGCACCGCGATGGCACGGTCCCCGGGAGGCGCGTGCAGAGCAGCAGCATGGAAGGAAGGGACGCAGTGACGGGCAGGTGCTGTGGTCGGGGGCCACGCGGTGAGGACGAGGTGGGGACCGGGCCTGCGGCGTCCTCGCCCGCACGGGGAGGTGGGCGTGCGCGGAAGCACGCTGTGCGGGAAGCTCTCTCCAGCTGCCGTTGGTTTCTGGAACACGCGAAGGCCAAAGGCAGTCGTTCTGGGCTGTACCAGACCAGCCCGCGGGCCCGCGGCGACCTGCCCGGGTTCCCGGCCAGCGTGCAAACTGACCGAGCGCACACCACCTGCCGTCCGGTCACACGACTTCCTCAAGTCTTGATCCGCACACCTTAGCGTTGCTGTCAGTCACAGCTGGCGTTGCCGGGCGTGTAGACGGGCACCCGCCCCCGAAGCTGCGCGTGGGGGACACCTGTGTGGGGCGAGGCGGCCTCGCACGCGCCCGTGAAGAGGCTGGCTCGGGGCCACCCCAGGGTGGGACCTCGTTTTATTCCCATTCCCAGTGCTGACGCACGAGTCACAACCCTTGTGACCGTAGTCCGGGTGGTAGCTCTCGGGGATGGGGGGACACTGACCGCAGTGACCGCTCACCCACTGCCGAGGGAGGGACCGGCTCTGCGTCCTCCGCCGGCCAACGCATCTCCACAGAGCACACGGCAGGTGCGGGGGACGCGAAGGCCGTCGGCTCCGACACCCCTGGGCGCTCCAACAACACGGACCACACCTTCGGTCCAAGGGGGACGAGCAAAGGGAGGAACGAAGCCGCCAGGGCCGCCCC